TCTCTTAAGCTGACCAAGCCCTCTCAGTCCAACTACCCGGCAGACGACTAGTCTTCACCGGGATAGAAAGCTGAGGCTATGAACGCAGAACTCCACTACTGGAATTGGATTCCAGTACAAAGCAGTAAATCGATTAACTCTCGTATAATCAATCTACCACTACCGATTGATGAAGCTCTAACAACCTAATCAAATTATATCTATCTTAGGTTGCAGCAGAAATCAAGAAAAGATGACCAGACTTCAATTGACTCAATGAATCATGCATCAATCGATTATAATCAATCAGTATAACAATCCCAAGTCATTACAATCAAGATCCCTAACACAGGGAACTAGGGTTCTTCATACCCAAGTGAGAGAAGGTTCTACTCCATAGAAAGAGAGAGGAAAACAGAAATCAGAGTAGTCATACTCATAAAGATGAGGAAATTCTGCTATGGGATGATGATTCTCACTCCTATGATGATCTCCGAGCTCGATTAATGAAACCCAGCTCCAAAATCACTTCTAGGATGTGTTCTTTGCACTTTCTCTCTCTAGGGCTCTGTTTCTTGCTCAAAAACTCGATCCCCCCTTCAAAAACCCGAAATTGGGTTAAAACCCAGTTTTGCCCGATCACACGGCCATGCCACACGGCTGTGTGAAATCCCTAGCTGCCCGTGTCGAAGTGCAAACCGTCGCGTTTCACTTAAGTGGCTTCAGGTACGTTACACGGCCAAAACCACACGGCCGTGTGGATTTCCAGTATGGCCGTGTGAGCTCCCTGGAAATTCCACACGGCCACAAGGGGTCCCCTACACGGCAAGTGTGGCTTGCCCGCGTCGTGGAATTCCACACGGCCAAGTCACACGACCGTGTGGAATTTAGGTCTGCCCGTGTGGAATTTCCAGCTTTTCGTCAAACGTCCCAACTTCGTCCAATCGACCCCGAACTCGTGCCCCAAACCTTCTTTCACGTACTAGGACCTGAAATATCACAAACAAGAACAACCTAGCGTGAAATCGGCCTAAAACACGAGAGATGAGACTCAAACGGTACATGAATGGTGGATAAAAACATGTGTATATATCAAGTCATCAACAGTTCTAGGGCAAGTTAAATGACCCATGAATACGTGATTAGAGAATCATAAATTATAGATTATCTTAATATGGGTAAACGTGTTAAGATGTTAACTTGGATGAAAAAAATGTTTTATCGATTGCTCTGATTAATGGTTTAATGTGATGCTCTTGAAATGCTTGTGGTAGAATTAGAGAATTAGAGCAATATGATTACTAGAAGAGCATATGAGAGTGTTTTAATTGGGTATGATATCTTAAAGCGCACAAGCTTATGAAATGAAATACTCATTGTAATGTGGAATCCATAGATACCAATAAACTTCAATTTTAAATCAAGAAATAGTGGGGGTAGTGTCTTGCCTACTATAAGAAATAATGGAACTAGTGGGGGTGATGAATCTGGGTATGAACTCGGAAGAGACAAATGAACCATAAATCATTGAAGGATTTTGGTTATGAATTTTTTATTTACACCCTAAGATAGAAAGATCCTACAAGCCTTCTAGAAGTTTGAACTTCCATAAAGATGCAGATTTGTGGGATAATCCATTGTTAACAAAGTGGAGTCTTTTGAGTTTGGTAAGACTTAAAATCTTGTATAATTACCTCTTGGCTATAAAGCCTTAGATAATATATCGATGGAATCGAACAAGATTGGGCATCATAAGAGTTACCTCTTGGCAATGAAGCCATAGGTAATAAATTGATTCTTAAAAGAAAACTGAAACCTGATGGTTTAGTTTATGAGTATAAGGATCGCCTACTAGCTAAAACTTTAGGCGAAGAAGGAAAAAAATTGTGGATTTCTTTGATATCTATTCACCCCATCTAGAAGAACATCCGTGTATGTTCTGATTGCTAGTGTTGTGCGTCAGATGGATTGTTAAAACTGTCTCTGTGAATGGTGGTTTAGATAAAGAAATCTACATTGAGAAAACCTAAAAGGTTGTTATTCTTGAACATGCTTCTGGAGTCTATGGTTAGACAAATTGTGATAGGATTTGAAATAAACTCAAAACAATGGCATGAGTAATCAGGTTCTCTCTCATGGTTTTTGAATGAAAGTGACAAGTCCATTTGTTACAAACTTGAGAATGACACTTGCACTATAAAAGACATGCTGATCTTTGTTTGAAAGACTCATGACATGAATAAATGTGAAAAATCATGTTGAGTGAGAACCTTGATAAGAAGGATCTAAGTGTTGTGCTTAGAGATCCAAATGACTAGGACAGTGAAAGAGATTTTTTATAGATAAATCTAAATGTTTGGTTAAGATCAATAAGAAATACATGTTGTACACTTGCCTAAATGTTTGAAGATGCTAGTACGATTTTTTAAAAGAGCACCAAAGACGGTGTAAGAAAGTACAGACATACTAGCATTGACAGTCTGCGAGAGGCAACTGATAAAGATGAGACCCGACATAGTGGGGGTACTTGGAAGGTCTACATATTGTCCTAGTATGAAGCATTGAAATGCTATTGAAAGGGGTCATGAGACACCTTAAGAGAACAGTAAACCTTGATATAAATTATCAACGGTTTCTTGCTGTATTGGTAGGGTATATTGATGCGGACGAGAATACCCTAATAGAGTACTCCAAGGCATCCAGTGGCCATGTTTTAAACATCGTTGAAAGAGTTGTGTCTTGGAAGTCTAAAAAGTTAAGATCCGGGCTCAATCACCTAAGGAATCAGAAAATATAAAACTAGCAATGGCTAGTAAAGGGGAAATTTAATTGAGAGGTTCGTTACCAGAGATTCCCTTATGGGAAAGACCGATCCCTCCGGTAGTTGATTTATTGTGATAGCACCACAAATATTGCTAAAGAAGGGAATCAGTTTTAGAACGAAAAGAGACGACAAATTCGTCGTAAGCATAGTACTATAAGAGAACTCCTAACTATAGGAGCAATGAGGGTGGATCATGTAAGATCCTAACATAATCTAGCTGATCCTTTGACGAAAGGATTACCTAGAGAGAAAAGTCCAAAATATCATGAAAGGTATGAAACTTATGCCTACCAAACCATGGATTTCAAGCGATGGTAACCCGACCCGATAGACTGGAGATTACAAGAAACAAGTTCAATGGGTAATAACCATGGTAAAGGAAACCGTACCGGAAGTCATACCGGATTCGTCTATGGTAGGGTATTTTGTGGTACGACCGTGGTTCAACCATTATGTACCGGTAAAATACCGTTTTATAATAAAATATTATTTTTTTGTTAAAATACTATACCGGCAGTTTCAGGATACCATCTCGGAGTAATACCGGAATAAAACCGGAAAATACAGGATAACAAACTTGAATACGCCAAATAGGCATATGCAATATAAAATCAATAAAGTGGAACATTACATAATCATTCAAATGTTATAGTACAAAGTAGTACAAAGCAACCAAAACAACATTACTAATGGCCATTCCTGCCAAAATATTCACAAACATTATATTTTGTCCCCAAACATTGTAAAAAAAGAAGCTCTAACATGGAGCAGTATACAAGCCAATTATTTTAGGATTATCAAAAGCTCAGCATATACAATATATATTTCCACAAGCCGATTATTCTGGGAGTATCAAAAGCTCAACATAGCCAATATATATTTCCACACACGTCCTTACATAATTGAACTTTGAAGACAACTATCTATGCGTCTGGGATGTAACTCGAGCTCGGCGGCGACGACAGTGGGAGGGTGACTAGGCGCGGCGGCATTCTCGACAGGGGAGGGAGACTCGGCAGGGGAGGGAGATTCAAGCAGGGGGTGGGAGACTCAGCGCAGTCAAGCTCCTCGCAGATAGCAGACGTCGCCCTCGTCTCGTCCCTGTCGATGATCGCTGGTCGCCAGAGGAGCGGCGGTGATAGGTGTGAAATTTGGGGAAGAAAGAAATGATCATTCGATTAGGGGGATTAGGGTTTGGTCATCTGTTTTCTATACGCCGAATTTTTATTTTTATTTATTCTAGTTGCACAAAACGGCAACCAATGCAGTCAAAAGCGCGATTCTACCTAGCAGCGGTTGGGTGACCTAGAAGCGTAAAACCGTAAGCTTTTAAGTTTTAAAACGTAGATTTTGACTACATTTGTAAGGAAAAATCACGATTCTACGTAGAAACATTTTGGTGACCCAAAGAGGTAAAAGCGTAAGTTTTTAAGTTTTAAAGCGCGATTTTGACTACATTGACGGCAACGTCTTGTACTGCAAATAGCCTACCGTCGGTTTCGACAAAACAGGGTGGCTTCTCGTTTCGTGCCGGTTAAACCAAAAAAATCGTCCGGTATGACAAATTATCCACTAACATCCTACCGTTTCGTTTCTGGTTCGGTTTCCAGTTTTCCGATTGAACCGGCCGGTACGATCTGGTTTCCTAATCCATGGTAATAACAAGTCATGAGTAATATTGAGAAAAGTTCATGCATAGTGAAGCAAGAATCCCAAAGCCTTGGAGGTTGAGTTAAACTCTTAATGATATCTATACTCTATGTGGAGTGAAGTACTTTACTTTGGGGGTACTTCTGATAGACTCACCTATATGAATGTGGGAGTGGGGCCGCTCCCTATGGAAATTTGGAGGCACAAAGTTGATAGAGCGTTCACTAAACCGGTATAACGTGCATGGTCATAAACGCACGGCCAATGAGAGAATATCACTCAATAAAAAGATCTGGTGTGCTACTATTACGAGATCAGGCCATCATAAAATTTCGTAGGAGACTGGGCTTGCGTATCTTTAGTATTTTATTATTATTATTATATTATTGGACTTTTATTATTATTCTCTTTATTATTGTTTTCCTTGTTCATATAGGATTTAATTATTTGTTAGTAATATCCTTAGAGGTTTAGGAGTTATAATCTATATAGGTAAAGGTAGAGGCTTTGTGCCTATAAATATGTACTTGGTCTTTCGTTTAATGGATAAGAAGATTGGAACCCAAACCTTTAACTTTCGTTTGTTATTTGCTATTTCCTTAGTTATTTTCTTTGAGAGTTCTTTGCGCTTTATTCCTTTTACGAGAAAACCCTAAAAACACCATCCCTACGTCACATCACCGTAATCGTTGGTATTAGAGCCCCGTTAATGTTCTGAGTATCTCTATTGGCGGGAGAAGCTGGGCAGGTAATCTGGCAACTCCGGCAGTCTGCCAGGACGAGGTTTACCCTCGGGGGTTTCGATCCAGCAGTCTGTGCGCTACTCGAGCCATGTTCGGTCCTTCCATCAATACTAGGTTTGCCGCCTCCAGCTGATGATGCGACAACCGAGGAGCTAATCCTAGTTCCGTCCCCGTCAAGCTTTGCGCAACTAACTATCGCACCCGAGATAGCCATGATCAACGAGAAGGAAGAGGACCCCGTGGATGTTGTGCTTCCGTGTTCAAGCGAGCCACCTGAGCTCGACGAAGAAGCACCACCCGTTCATGGATTCGTCTACCTTTGTGGACCGGATTGCCGCAGAACGTCCACCATCATCACCATTCATCTTTGGCGCTGCTGTAGACGAAAAGTTAGCGACATTCGTGGCCGCTCGCCCATCAACCGGAGAGCTAGCCCTAGCTCCAACGACCACCGTCATTCATCCATCAATCGTGAACAAACCTGCACCTGTGATCATCAACACTATCAACAATGATGGCGATGGCGCAACAATTCCGCTAAACATGAACACCGAAGTTTGCCTCATCACGGGGAGATTGGCTACCGGAGAAAGAGGAGGAAAGGAGGAATCAAATCGTCAAAGCCATAAACTGAACCGACCAACAGGGGCGACAAGGGATTCACGTTGAAGGATGGTGGCATCACTGGAAAGAACCCGGAACGAGAGGAGCATAGGGTTGGAAGGGAGGATCACGTGCATGGCACGGAAAAAAAAGCCGGTATGGAGTGTCGAAGAGGCCTTATTTTGGACTCATTTTGGAGGATCGTGATTTCGGAGAAGAGACCAAAGCAACCTTGGTCACGGAATCATGGGCCGCGCTGGATTTGAAAGGAAGGGAGAGTCTTTATTTTGCAGCGAAGGTGTTCGATGTTAGGATTGGAAGCAAGGTGAACGTTTGGAAGTGGCGGGCGTGGGATCGTGAAGCTTCTTATACTCGAGCTATTTTGACTAACATGAAATTCGTCGCTACGGGTTCTGAACGGCGAACATTCGACTGGGAAAGGAAGTGCAAGCAGTCGGCCAAGTGTGCAGGTGAGAATGGGGAGATTCAAAATGACTTCAACATTTGGAGAGATGATTGTGTTGGTGTCGTATCTGTGGTATCCTTGATGAGAAGTTTAGCATCAAAATCACCCTGGGGAAGCTATGAAACCGTCGTAGAAGGAGAACCGCGAGCATCCACAGAGGGCCGACTGGGAAGCTCGAGTCGATCGGCTGAATCGGTGGCTGCCCTTGGTGACGCTATGGTAGACTCTTCGGGGGGGGGGGGGGGGGGGGGGGAGGATTGCGCGCGTGGGACGACGTATCGGATGGAGTTTAGGTTGAGGGACGAAACGGCGAGGGTTCCTAGCGTACTCACAGCGTCCTCTAGGCCATCATCGACAGTGAAATCCTCAATCGAAGACTAAAGGGTGTTTAATGACCCACCGCAGTTCGCAAGTGAAGTATGGCTTTACATGAGTAAGTGGGTTAAATTGGAGAGGCAAGACAAGGAGTCCCGTGGGTTTGGTGAAAGATTGCATGAAAGGAGTGATTTGGAGGAGGGTGATTGGTCCATTTTCATGCATAGGAAGCGGGCGTGGAGTTGCAAAATTGGAGTTAAAGGAGACCTTGATGTGATTAATGCGATAGGAGCTTCGATCAATTGTCAGAGCGTGATTGGAAGTATCGAAAGCGGCTGTATCGTCAAACATCCATGATCGTCGATGACAAGTTGCAAGGGAGGTTCTTTTACATCGACCCCGGTTGAAGTGGGTGTGGTTATCCCACGAGCCTTGTGGACAAGGTTCTTTTAAGGGGGGAGGGATGTTACGAGAGTCGGGCCATTGTAGAATTTCGTAGGAGACTCGACTTGCGTATCTTTAGTATTTTATTATTGTTACATTATTGGGCTTTTATTATTATTGTCTTTATTATAGTTTTCCTTGTTCGTATAGGATTTAGTTATTTTTTAGTAATATCCTTAGAGGTTTAGGAGTCATAATCTAGATACGTAAAGGTAGAGGCTTTGTGCCTATAAATATGTACTTGGTGATAAGAAGATTGGAACCCAAACCTTTAGCTTTTGTTTGTTATTTGCTATTTCCTTAGTTATTTTCTTTGAGAGTTCTTTGCGTTTTATTCCTTTTACGAGAAAACCCTAAAAACGCCATCCGCCTACGTCACATCACCGTAACATCTACATTGTGTGAGATAGGGTTCAAGACTACGAGTCACCCTTATGAAATCGGAAGTGTAACCACTACGCTAAGGTTCAAATCTTCGTGATACCTTAGCTTATGCACGAGCTTATGGATCTATTGATGCTGAGAGACAGTTTCAAAACTATTCAAGTGGGGGATTGTTGGGAATGAATATCTTTGAAAGCTATTTTGAATTAATTATCCAGTATTCTTTCTAGATACAAAAAAAGAAGGATAATTAATAAAAAAAATATTATGGATATAATTAGGATTAATTATCTTAATATAATATATTTTAATAATGGGAGCAATTATCTTACTAATTACAATGTGACTTATTCCCAAAGAAAGAGGGAATATTCTAGATTTTTTGCTCCTATAAATAGCAGACCCCTAGACCCTCTAAATACACCTCAGAAGAGCAGAAACATGAGAGAGAGTGAGTTCATAGAGCTCCGATTTTCGCACAAAACTGATGAGCAATAAAATCATAGTGGTTGTTTTATCCTGGAGGCGACCGAATGATAGTCTGTTGTGCGCAATACGAGGCAATGCTGTGAACGTCTTAAAGAGAGCGAACTAGTCCGCGACTCAGCTAGATTGGTAACCCTAATTTTTCCTGTTCGATTTCTAACGTTACTTCCTATCTGATTCTACTTACAGTAAAAAGAAGGTATTGCAAAATATAGTGTTAAATCTATAAGTAACCGAGTGCCTCTAGTTCAACCTGCAACTGCCCCTGACCAGCAACTATAAAGCGCAGCTCTGCCTGCAGAAACTCAGCTAATTTACCTAGAATCTTGCACACAGAGCCATGAACAACTTCACGTCTCTCTTTCCACACAAAAGACAACAGGAGGCACCAAACCATAGCATGCCAATGACTTGACTTTGAGTCCCTGTTTACTACATTCAATACACCATTCAACATTGCATCCCAGTCTCCATTATTTAGCAGACTGCATCTCAAGAAAAAAGCAACCTGGCAAATGAACGACCACTGCACAAATAAATGTTCCCTTGTCTCAACTGCCCCACCACACAATGGACAAGATGCATAAGCAATCTTACCCCACTTTAGCAGCTTGTCTCTTGTAACAATGGCGTTTTTAACTAAGACTCGAGCAAAAAAGTTGTATCTCGTTGGGCAAGGCTTGCACCATACCTGCTTATACCATGAGACCTGTGATGCTTTAAGCCTCAATGTCTCCCATACTTGCTTTACTGAATATTTCATCATCAACTTAGATCCCCAGTAAATCTTATTGTCCTGTTTACGAAGCCAAGACTGAACCAGAGGTATCACCTTGAGCAATCTTCGCCATGTCCAAGAACTAGTGTATTGAATCTTCATCGACCATAAATCCCCCTGCTTGCATTTATATGCATACATCCAGGCCACCCTGATTGTCCCAGAATCCAGCAAGAATAACCAAAGCATTCTAACAGTGCAAACTTGATTCCATGCTTGCAAATCCTTCACCCCCAAGCCACCTTCTTTTTTAGGAAGAGAAATCGAATCCCATGCAACTTTAGCCTTCCCCTCATCATTACCATGCCAAAGGAATTGGGAGCAAACCCTCTATACCTGCTTAGGAACCTACTTAGGTAGCACGAATAACTGCATCCAGTATTGAATGATGTCTATCAGAACAGAATTAAGCAGTCGCAAACGGCCTGCATAAGTCAAATTTTTTTGGCTTTCCATGATTTCATCCGCTTAGTGATTTTGTCTACCAAAGTATCAAACTCCTTCAAGGACAACTTCATAGTAATGTCAATCCTAAGTATCTTACAGGTAGTTTACCCTCCTAGAAACCAGATAACTGCAAAGCATTACTCTTGTATTGAAATGACTCTCCTCCAAAGTAAATCTCACATTTGGACGGATTACTCTTAAGCCCTGAAAGTTGATAAAACCTATGCAGAACTGCTTTGACTTGTAGGATAGCCTGAGCAGATCCAGTAGTAATTACCAAGATGTCATCCGCAAAACACATATGGTTTAAAGCTATTCTTGTGCATTACGGATGAAAAAGGAATTATACCAGATTGACCAGCTTTCAATAATAGAATAGAGAGACCCTCCATTGCTATGGTGAAAAGGTAGGGTGAGAATGGATCACCCTGCCTTACCCCCCTTTCTAGCCCTAAAAAAACCACACAAACTCCCATTCACATTGATACTAAGTGTGTTGTTTGGATACAACTCTTTATCCACTTCATAAATTGCTCAGGAAACCCCATTGCAGTCATCATAAGAAACAGATATGACCAATTAACCAAGTCAAACGCTTTCATGATATCTATCTTGATAGCACAACGAGAGGATAATCCCTTCCTATGATACCTACTAACCAACTCTTGAGCTAAAACTATATTGTCCATTATGCTCCTACCCTTACTAAAGGCAGATTGGGTACCACTGATGACCTGAGGTAAGACTTCCCTAATTCTCTTGGCTAGAATTTTGGCTACTATCTTGTACAAAAGGTTTACACAAGAGATTGGTCGAAAAATTTTCAAGGTATCTGCATTTTTTACCTTAGGAAGTAAAGAAACAACAGTTGAATTCACACCACTAGGGAGTGTACCTGAGAGGAAGAAATTAAGCACGCCTCTTGTTATATCAGCTCCAATAATGTGCCAAGTACGCCTATAAAAGCCTGTTGAGAAACCATCAGGTCCAGGGGCTCTTTGAGGGTTCATTTCAAACACCACTTTCCGCACTTCTTCTGTTGTAATAGGCTGAACCATAAAAACACTTTATGTTCCTAAGAGTCTTCTTTGTACCAATGCCTCCACTTCTTCCTTAGTAGACTTAATATCTTTATTCGTCTCACCCAATAACCTTTTCTAATAGGTAACAGCCTCCTCCACTATCTGATCAGATTGTGTTAATTCTGTCCCTGGCTCAGTGACTAGCTTTCTAATAGCCCTCTTAGAATTTCTTATCTTCACAGCTTGATGAAAGAAAGCTGAACTCTTATCCCCAACTATTAACCATGAAACCCTGGACTTTTGCCAACAGAAGCTTTCATACGCAGAAGATAATTGATCAAATAGTTGCTTGGCCACCCTGACTGCCTCAAAATGTGTAGCAGTAGGATCTGACAAAGCCTGAGTTTGAGCCCTTATAAAATCATTTTCTACAGCTATAACCTGTTCAAGTCCTTTTGTTTGGAGGTTTTGTTAAACCCCCTTACATTCCAAAATAAAACTATCATTTACAAGTAGAGGGTTTCCCCCACCCTTCCGAACTTCCTTCTTACCATCCTTCTTCTTTGGAGCCTCCTGCAGTTTGACAATGCGCTTCTCATCCAGCTTACTTAGCACACTAAAGTAGAAGCAGAGACTTTAAAAGCCTCTTTTGGACTCTGTTGGGGAGATGAAACACGAGGCTTAGCCCAATTAACCACCCTCTGAAACTCATCTTCTGAAGGCAGCTTCGGAGAAACGGAATTAGCCACAACTTGAAAGGACTTTTTTAGGTTTAGAGGAATTGGTACGTCCACTTTTGATGTAACCCTGTAAACATAGCACTCAACTGAGGATCTGCATCATAAACAACCACTTCCTTACCCTTTCCACTTACAACTGTTTTTTCAAAAACCTTCAACTGAGAGAGACCACCTTATCACTGTGCAACTTCTCAAGATTAGAAACCACTGAACTGATTTGCTGCAGTGCTGGATTTATATTTAGTTCTCTTACATCATGTTGATCTTGTATACGGCATATACTAGAAGATAATAATAAATATATAAATTAATATTAAACCCCTAATATAATTAGAATCACCGCTAAAAACAGTTAAAATAGAACCTAATCTTCTATATTAAATCTCTTTGTAATTCTCAAATATTGTATAAACGTTTCATATTAGTTAAATTTAATAATTTTAATTCTCTTTCTATATTCATATTTTATTTTCTAGATTTATTACTGAATGTTCTAGCTCTTATAGTTTACATAGATCTTCTTTAGTCTTGATGTATTGATGGTCGATTAGGTTCTATTTTAACTGTTTTTAGCGGTGCTTCTCATTGTATTAGAGGTTTAATATTAATTTATATATTTATTATTATCTTCTAGTATATTTATTATTCATTCTCGATATTCGTTTATTATTTTTATTAATTATCTATTTTATTGAAAAAATCTCATTAGTCATTCTAGTAATATTATGTTTAGAAGGCTTTCTAATATTTATATTAGATAATACTTGCTGAAATATAGTT